AATAACAAAAGATAATGATTAAATATTAAATAATAGTTGATTTAATGAGATAGGGATACAATTATTTTAATTAATTTCAACTATGTGAATTTTAGAAAATAGAATTGAACTGTGAGAGTCGTTCGCATAATAATCTTATACACCACTTAAATATATTAATCTATCGTTTAATCAAGTACCTATAATTATGAAATAGTAATTAAATCCTGTGAATTAAAATTTTATGAGTATGATATTTAAATCTCTTATCATCATAATTAACAATTTTTTAACGTTAAAAAGGATAAACCGTCACTAATGTTTTAGTTTTTTTTTTATTATTAATATAAGGTAAGTATAAAGTATTATCCGTTCAAGATAATATAATCAATTGACATTGAAACTTACATTTTTGACATTCATGATACTTGAACTCAGAATTAAAGTTGAAAAAAATCCGCACATTGTATTAGCCAACTGCAGCATCTAACTCTAAGATTGAGAGGATTGAAAGTCTCTGTTGTGTCAAAATTATATAGAATCCCTATTGCCATTGCGAATGGAGGACTTGAGAACCCTTTTGCATCTTAACCATCTCTCCTATACATGGCACAAAACTCCATTCCACTTTCTTGGATTCTTTTTCCATTTGGATGTAAGCCTCAAAATGGGGTCTTCTCGAGAAAAAATTATAAATCTCAAGGGTCAGAAGTTAAAAGTTTTGCACTAAAAGGAGTTGGATTGAAGGGATCGATTATTCTCATAATACAATGCATGTTAACCGTACATGAAAAGATTGACGTTGTTTGTTTCGTTCACTTTGTGCTTTGAAGTATAGGACTGGCCTGGTTTTGGATTCCATGCCTGGTGTTTCAATTTATTGGTAAAATTCTTTTATTAGTCCATTTATGATGATTAACTGGTAGATTTAGTCTTTATACTCTAAGTTCATAATGGAATTACAGAGTCGGAGAGTCTTGAAGAACTAATTGACATTGAATGGTACATTAACGAGAATAAACCCCATACCCTCTCAAGACAATGACATATAGTTCAACCAACCGCACAATAAAAAAAATCCCAATAAACTTTAATTTTCGAAACATCCAAATTGAAAATCACCAGGAAAATACAGTATTTTTGCAAGTTTTCTATCCACGGTTATAAATATTCCGATAGCCTTTGATAGGAATCCAATTATGAAGGTAAGGTGTTCGACGAAATGATTTATCAATAATTTTTCCTTATATCGACAAGTCATTGTTTCTAGGAAAGGATATAAAAAAGCTGAATCGACAGACAGAGGAGGGACCATTACAGATGTTGGCTTCCGAAACATTGAAAACCATCGGCTTGTGCAATGGCAATATTCTCTTTCAAGGGGGGATGCTCCAGTGCAGCTCAGATGAGAAAACCCTGCCCCGGATTCGGACAATCGTGGTTTGGCCGGACTAACTTTTTATCGAAAAGGGCTTGTGAAAGGGGTCGACCGATTTGGCTTTTTTCTGGGCACAGCTCCTGATCCCATTGTTTATAGTTTTTTAATGTTCGGTTGTGCAAAGAACCGGGATTCAGATGGGATTTTTAAGCTTTTGAGGAGTTAAAAGAAAATAAAGATGGGGTTTTGAAAGTTGGGGTCATTTATGGGAGCTTAATGAACGGGTATTTCAGGAAGGGAATGGAGAAAGAAGCTATGGAGTGTTATGAAGAAGCTTGTGGAGAGAATTCGATGGTTAAGATGAGTGCTGTTGCTTATAACTATGTTCTTGACGCATTAAGTAAGAACGAGAAGTTTGATGAGGCTTTAAGGTTGTTTGATAGGATGAAAAATGAGCATAATCCTCCTAGGAGATTAGCTGTGAATTTGGGAAGCTTTAATGTGATTGTCGATGTATATTGCACCGAAGGTAAGTTTAAGGAAGCCATGGATGTTTTCAGGTCAATGCTAGATTATAGGCGTCGTCCGGATACCTTGTCGTTTAACAATTTGATTGATCAGCTGTGCCAAAATGGATTGTTGGTTGAAGCTGAGGAGCTATATGGTGGAATGGGGGTTGAGGGTGTTAGCCCGGATGAGTATACTTATGTTCTGTTGATATATGCTCGCTTTAAAGTGAATAGGATTGATGATGGGGCTTCATATTTTAGGAAGATGGTGGAGGCGGGTTTGAGGCCAAACTTGGCTGTTTATAATAGGTTGGTCGATGAATTGATTAAAGCGGGGAAGGTGCATGAGGCAAAATCGTTTTATATACAATGGTGAAGAAGCTTAAGATGGATGACGCCAGCTATAAGTTCATGATGAAAGCACTTAGTGATGTGGGAAGTTGGATGATGTGCTGACGATGGTTGATGAGATGTTGGATGAGGAAAGCTCTGATTTTAATGATGAGTTGCAAGAATTTGTTAGAGAGTTGTTAAGAAATGTAGGGAGGGAAATTTGAAGCTGCAGAAGCAGCCAAGAGAAGTGCCAAAGCTGCAGTCGCATCTTTACTTCCATCAAAGTTATTTGGGAAAAAATAAGGTGAACCCGAGTCATCTTTGGCGTCCGAAAACACAATTGACTCTTCCTCTCAAGGTGAAGTGCCAGAAGATGAGAGTGAAGGGCCTACCGAGGAAACTACTGTTATGGAGTCTGTTGCAGATTCCAATGCTGTTGATGCAAAGCAGCAATTCTGATGAAATTCTAAAACTGATATTGCGAAAGATGGCAGGTAATAGCTCTATATTTTGGAGGAATCTTTTATGTTCATTTATGAGCTCAGTTTTATCTGCTTGTCTCTGTAATTTGAGGATCAAAGAAGAAATCTGCTTTTTGAGTCCGTATAATTTCCAATTATTACTGGAAAGGATCAGAGGGAATCAGTTGAGACTTATCATTGAAAACTATGACGTGAATGTAATTAATAATGTTTAGAAACTTGCTAATGTGCTTTCCATTATGAATCAAAACATCATTTTTCTTAATGCAAAAAGAAGGTTGGGGAAGACGATATTCTTATTGCACGCTTACATTAGTTTGGTATGCACATAACAGCATCTGGATTTTGTTCTGCCTTCCATGTCCTTCCTGTAACCCTCAGCTTTAGCTCCTTCAAAGTGTAAGCAGAAATACTGACCATAACAATTGAATACCTGACAAACAGCAGCGAAAACATACGTCGGTTAAGGCTTATACTAGGAAGATTATTACAGACCCAATTGGATCATAGTAATATAAAGATTATAAAACGTACTGTTAGCATCCAAGTAGCATTTTCGACTTTCCGAGGGTTGGATTTCACGTATCGATGGTTAATCTTGATTCCCCCAACCATAGAAACTGAGGGAAGGAGGTGGCTAACAGAGCGTTCGATGAAAACGAACGGAGGGTGCCATTTGATAATGTTGAAAGTAATATTACATTTCATAACTCTGAAGGTGCTATTTGATTCGTTTATGTTTATTTATTAAATAAAATAAACGGATATGAATAATTTTTTATATTAATGTAATAAATGAATAAAAACGAATAGAGGTGTATTTGATTTGTTTATGTTCATGAAAAAGTTTATTTATCGACTCATTTATCTTGTTCTCCTTTTTCTTTTATTTTTCTAAAATTTTTAATGTTGATGAAGCTAGATACTAAATTGAACATAAGGTGAACTTTAGTATGAAACCTGAAAAGCTTAATGTTATTTCATTGTTTTAAACATTAAATGAGCATGTTAGTGAATACTAAACGAATCCTAAATGAACACTTGCAAAAATAAACGAACAAACAAGATACTAAAAATTTAATTAACTTAATATAATCTCGTTCAATTGTATTTATAATAATATTGGACGAAATTGTAGAGTTCCTCATCAAGAAGCACCCATGGCCTAATGGATAAGGCGCTTGACTTCTAATCAAGCGATTGTGGGTTCGAGTCCCACTGGGTGTGTGTACACATTTTTTGGCCAGAATCAGTCTCGAGTTAACTCATGATAACAATTTTTTTTTTCTCTTTTAAGTCGTTTCGTTATTATTTTTCATCCATGATTGTTGAGCATCAAGCACCCATGGCCTAATGGAAAAGGCGATTGTGGGTTCGAGTCCCACTGGTTGTGTACTTCATTTTTTATGCCCGACTCCTTTTCTTGTCGGACTCAGTATCGAGTTCGAGTCACCTCACTATCACATGCTGAAAAACTCTCGATGACAATTTAAATATTTTTCGGGCAAGAGTTCGTGGATATCATGTTGCTCCAATTGTACTTGAAGTTTGGTTGTTTGGATGATGCAGACGTCTTGTTCGATAAAACGACGCTAAGAAACTCGTTTCCTCGGACAGTTTTAACGATGCTTTGATTGAGAATTGAAAACCGATTCTGGCCTTTTGGATTAATAGATTTCTATACAACGGTGTTGTTATACAACGAACACTTTTCCGATTTTCGTGATTTCTTGTCGTAAAATATTTCATTTGATCCGATTAAGAAAATGATTTAAGAAGATAATCGAAGCAAACCCCGAAAAAGGTTGATAAGATTCTTGGATTAACTTCATTCTTATAATGCCGTGGTGTTGAATACATTGAACTATATTATAAATTGCAAAATGCTAATGGTCCATCGTATCTACCCTATTTATGTATGCACCAAATTCTCCTAACGAAGTTCAACAACTGCCTAACATTGACATGTTGGACTACGTCGAGAAATTGGTACACAAGTCTAATTAGGCACTCAACTTATGACATTTCTCAAACAAGAGACAATCTCTATTAGCCATTAAGATATAGCTTTATGACTTAGATTCGAACAACATCGTCATCAAGATGTACATGAGTTTTATTTAGACTAAAAAGACCACATAATAATGCTAAAATGACCAAACTAGAGTATATAGACCAAACCCACATCTTTCACATAATATATGGACTAATAGATGAATTTGACCCATAAGATTTTCTTCTCCTAAAGCTTCAACAAAGGAGAAATGTCTCAGATTCTTGCAAAAGAAAACAACATTTTAATCACAGGTACTACACAATGGAATGTCATGGACAATAAATTAACAATACCTTATGAACACGGGAATTATCAATCTGTCGTACATCCTCCAGATGTTTTAGTGCATGTTAAGAATGCAATGTTCGAAACAATAACAAATTTCCGAATGAGGCGACGCGTTTTTCTGTACAAGATGAACGTCTGAGCATAGATAACAATTGCATCAGACACGGGAATGAATGGGATCAGGACCTTAAAACGGCGCCGGGCGTTACCAATCCTCCTTAACGATCTTCGCCTTCTCGAGTATGAACCTCCCTTCCTTGTACTTTTGCGAGGCCTCGTAAGCTCGCTCGTATTTCCAACCTAAAACCTGATGGCAATCGGTGCAGTAAATATCGGCCACGGTGTGGAGACCGGTTAAGAGATTCCTGTCTTCTTTCGGTCCTGTGGTTATGTTCATTGCGTGCGAGAACAAAAACGCTCGGCCATTTCTTCCCTATAAGGAACAAAATCATGGAGAAAAAAAGAATGTGGGACAAAAGTCCCCTAAGATCCTTTGGATTGATCAAATATGAAACTAATTTGAATTTCTGCAATGTTTAATTCCATTCATGGATATACAACATGCTATGCAAATCGGACTGTTCATTTTTCTCAAAGTTCTCGTGTTCGAAAACCTATCAGACACGCATACTCGTATTAGACACACATCCAAATTCGAGTAACATAACATAAACAGGTAACAACCCATGTTCAAGCACATGTTAACTTGACTCCTGTTCAACACATATTCAAACATTAATACGAGATATGATCAAAACATGTAAGTGCCTAGATTCGAAACTCACTCAAATTCAGATAACATAGGTCCTTAACTGTGTATGCGTTCTTTATAATCTAATAATGATCATATATGTTGAGGGTTTCGACAAAATGGGATACAAAGCACACGGGAATATCGGGATCGTCGAGGGGTCCGAAAACCCTCGGCGAAATGCAGAGAAAACCTAGCTCAAATCCAACCATTTGAAAACAGAATTTCAGCCATTTTTTTAAAGCTCTACCTGGAAACACTTGGAAATTATATCATCGTGGAGAGAAACACGGTTTCGACAATTTGAGCAGCTGTACAATCGTGGACCCAATGATCCCGCCATTGATCAGCAACTTTAAAGCTTAAACACCAAGGGTGACACTAAGACAAAAGGGAACAAAAACGAAAACCAAAATCAAAATCACGAGCAGGAAGAAACTAAACCAATTTCCAGCAAAAGAAAAGGGGAAACCCCAGTGAAAAAGAAAGAGCAGGAAAGAAGATGAACCTCTTTCACCCAAAACGCTGCAATAATAGATTGATAAAAATAAAAAATAAGTAGTTGCGTGCAATAGTAAGCCAAAGTGGATTACAGAGATTCCATACATTTTGATTAAACAAATGGGTGTGTGAAAAGGACGGGGAAGATGTTATTAATAACATGAATAAACTACAGAAAGAAATATTTCGACGTAAGAGTCTTGTGAGAGAGGGATTAACATAGTTTCTTATCATCACTGACCTGATTCCTGAGGGTGAAAGCTTGGCTTCACCTAATGGGAAGATTGGGGCTCTTTTTAAAAGAGATGATTTTGATTTTGATATATTTTATCCGTTTTTTCTTTCCTCAGACACTGTTGTTTCTTGTCGAAGAAAAAGGAGGTGTGGAGATAATAGGGTTTCACACGCGCCTAACTGGCTATGGGTAGAATGCATTGTCGTTTGAAATGGAATCCGCGAGGGGTGTTTAAATTTTCGAATTAATCCGATTAATCGATCGAATCGAATTAGTTTAGTTAATCGATCGAATTGAATTAGTTTGATTAATTAACGGTTAAGAAATTTTTTTAAATTCGGTTAACAATTAATTCGATTCGAAATTGATTAATTAACTGAATTAATCGAATTAACTCTTAAATATTTATTAATATTTTTTTCATCTCATAATATGTTATCCCCATTTCTTTTAATTGCTCATCGGTTATCAATTTTTTTACCTTGATTTGTGTAAGATATGTGCACGTTCCTGATGTGCTTGTTCTGCTAAAGCTATGTTTTTTTTCCATGTGAAAAAGGGCGTATGGCTAAATGTAACACTCACGTACATGCTATGTTTTAGGAGATAACGAGAGAGGGTGTGGCGTGTGGGGTTCAAAATTTTTGGCTTTCTGCCCCAAGTGAAAGTGTGGAGCATAACTCTGCATAAGCAAAAATGTAGTGTAGTAAATTGATATTGTAAACTGTTTTTAATAGATACAAATATCTTATTTTAATATAATGTTTGAATCAAATTAATTAGATATTGTAAATTGTTTTTTTAATTAAAAAATATTAAATTCGAAAATTCTAAAAAATTTAATTAATTTAAAAATTAATCGAAATTTATTCGGCTCAATTAATACTTTCATAAAAAAATTCGGATCAATTAAAAGTTAAAAAAATCGATTAAGGATATTTCAATTCAATTCGATTTTAAGCGAATGAACCCCTAGAGTCCGCTTCTTGCTAAGCTTAAACATCCTTCGTGATGTTGGGACGAGACAGAATGGCGCGTGACGTTAAGGCTGTTGTTTCGAGGAAATTTACATTTCCCTCTCGTCATTTCTCCCTTGGTCAATCCCTATACTCTATATTTTTTTATCTTTTTCTTAGTCCCTATACTGTACATAAACCAACCATTTAATCATGTTTCTGAAATTGATTTCTTTTAAGCTAGTCTAGTATTATTTTTTTAAAAGTATTTTAAACTCATCATTTTACAAAGTTTATAAATAGAAGCTAAAACAATAAATTTTAATATAACATATTATAGTTTAATTTTTAATCTTTAAAAATATTTAGATAAATCAAAAGAATAGTCTTGAATAATTATAAAATAGTATTTGTTCAAAATTTCTTAATTGTTAATAATGTAGACATCTTGCAAATGCAACTCCTTAAATCCAATATCTCTAAGAATAACTACACCCTCACTAACCATTGAGATCACTTTACGAGTTTGATAAAAATTTAAAATTGAAGTACAATTTCGATCTAAAATATATATTTAAAAAATAGGGTAAATTATGTGTTTAATACCTAAACAATCAGTTTTGGTCTGTTTTAGTATCTAAACTTTCAATTTTTTAAAACTATACCTAAAATTTAATTTTTAAAAACTATACCTAAAATTTAATTTTTAAAAACTATACCTAAAATTTAATTTTTGTTTCATTTTAATACTCCGTTCAAAATTTAACGTTATGTTTCGGAAAAAATTGAAAGTTTAGATACTAAAACGGAATAAAACTGATAGTTTAGGTACTAAACACATTAAGTTTTTGGGTACTAAAACAAAACAAAAACTAAGCATTGAGTATGTTTTTAATAAAACTAAAGTTTAGGTACTAAAATAAACTAAAACTGATAATTTAGGTATTAAATGTGTAGTTTGCCTTAAAAAAAATCTCCAAAATTTGGGTTATGAAGATAAGAGGGACAATATCAATGGTAGGCAGGGAATGGTTTAAATCACAAGAAAGGTAGAAGGTCAAATATTAATATTTTACATAGATATGGCATTTTAATTTAAACGAGTAAATTTATTTTAATGACATCATGATACTAAAACTACACATAGATATAGTACATTTCAGACATAATTGAAACCCAGTAATGTAGTATTGCCGGAACATCTTAATTTCCTGGAGGATGAATTTGCCTTCCTTGAACCTGTTCTTCATGTCATAAGCTTCAACATATTTCCATCCCAGTTCTTCACTGCACTTGCTGCAGAATATATCAGCGATGCTGAACCGACCCGTCATCAACTGCTTGTCGTATTTCGGACCCAACACCACGTTCATCGCGTGTTGGAACATATAAGCTTTCCCAGATTTGGCCAGTTAATCAAATCAAACCAAATCATTGATAAAAACATCATCATCTTGGGTCAAATTTGGTCAGATTCACAGAAATCAAAGGTTATAGGGACTAACTATGTAATTCTTAGAGAAGAGATCATCGACACGAGAGCGGGATGAACAACAATCCACAATAAACATAGAGAATATGAATAATACAAATATAATATATCACATATAACCCAAAACTCGATATAAATACTAAAATCCGATATATCCTTGCAAAATTATCCATGCAACACAAATTCCAAAAGTTACAGAGATCTCCAAAATAAATTTTTTATTATAATTATCCTAAAGGTTAAGACATAGTCTCTATTATTTAAAGAGTCAAATGTTTGGTCACCAAGATTTTTTATGAAATTATTCTTAAATAAACCTAATTATTAAGTAGTCTGTAACCACTAGAATAATAATAAAATTCAACTTAATCACTAATTATAATTTAGGTCAAAATATATCAGTTTCACTCATAAATCATATAATGTGTTTCAAAAAGTATTGATAAAAATATAATTCATAAATTGTACGGGACATAGAACATTTATTGTGACCTATCTTTGGATATCAAAATGTCACGTGATGATTCGATTAACGGCTTACTTGGTATGCTTTGTACTTAAACCATTCATGTTGGTAATTTTTGCAACTTTATTACTTCTTTTATGATTCTTAGTATCCTTTTGGCGGATTCACCAGTTTGCTCTAATTGTAACCATCAAAAGTTTGAGGAGTTCAGCACTCTGGTTTTGGTGAATAAGAAAGAGAAGTAGCATTCACATATTCATAGTTTTATGTGCTGTGGTTTTTTGTTCTTAATTCGTCAATGAGCTTTTTGTCTTTAGATAGGATTAGTATGTCCTCCTTCCCATCCCATCTTATCTCTTTATTGGTTGTTTGCTTGCTCAAGTGTGTGCTTAATCTCGTAGTTATCTCTGGGGGCCATGAGCTTTCTAGTTATTATTCTCGGGACGGCGATAGAGGAGTAGTGCGGATAACCAGCGATAGTGACTCCATTGGATCATCTTATGATCGTTATGTTCGTGACACGGTATTGAACTAGTAGTTTCTTTTTGCGTGTGTGTTGATTAGGGTTCAAGTTTTTATTCACTCCATTATTTTATAAGTAGAGCTACTAAATAGAAGCATCCTTCCAGCAACTGTCATCATTTAGCGGGAGTCTCTCTGCAAGACCAATGAGCGGGGGAATGCCTCGCCGTTCTGTTGATGATCCCGTATGGTGGGTATTGGTGGTGTTGATGGACCAACAATAAAATATATTACTATTGGATTTGAAAGTGTAAGACCTGAACCTTCCCTTCCTTCTGATGCATCCAGCACTCTCTACGTGGAGGGTTTGCCTTCAGATTGTACACACCGAGAAGTTTCCCGTATCCTGATTAGCAATAGTTTCCACTTTGGCATTTTACTTTTTCAATTTTCCCCTTCCGTTTTATTCCTTCATCTCGGTTGACAGATATTTTCGCCCGTTTGTTGGGTACAAGGAAGCGAGACTTGTAACCAAAGAACCTAAATATGTAAGTTTATTTATTTATATTTGTCTTGACTTCAGAGTAAATATAAAGAACATTGATAATTCATGATTTGTGCAGCTCAGAGGAGATCCAATAAAACTTTGTTTTGTTGATTTTGCAAGCCCTTCTCATGCTGCCACGTCCATGGGTGCTTTACAAGGTTAGCCTGACAAGGATTTTCTGGTCTCCTGTATTTTGCCGATCAAAATGTTCACATTTCACGGATATTATTTGATATTACTGTAAATGAAGGCACTGACGCACCCAATCACCACATATGCACTAGCAAAACACAGAATAAGTGCAAGCATGATAATGTGACCTATGGAAGACCCACCTTCGGATAACAACCTGTTTTATTCTGCTTCCTCCCTCTTTTTCTCCCTTTTCCCTTGTCCAATATTTTCTTCCCGGTGAGGTTTAGGGAAAGGAATTCTTTCCAAAGGAAGGGTTGCTTGACTGCTTCGGATTCAATTAGATGGTTAGGCTTAATATAAAAATTCCAGTTGGATCAGTTATTCAGGTTTTGCTAACTTGCTTGTGTCTGCTTGTTTCATAACTTTAATTTGCAAAGAAAGACTGGTTAAATCTATAAAATCAACTATATACATGCTACGAAGGGACAGTTTAAACAAAACATCTTAGCCACCCTCATTCCAGTACCATCTTAGGTTTTCCTTTTTCATCCAGTTTTGGGTGTTCTCTGGTTTTTCTCTGGTTAAAATTAAAAGATACAACCTAACCCCTTGAGCTTCCTAAGGTCAAATAAGTCATAATTCATCAGCATTTATTTTCAACAGCATGTGATTTCAATGAAAATTTTCAATATAGACTTTATATAACAGCAAGTTAAGCATAGATAATGTCCTCACGTTCCGCTCGGCAATGTGTTCATGGATTTTTGGAAGGATGTTTTTGTTCATTCTGCATTGACATTGTATTTCTTCATGCCATTCGATACGACCAGATACAATGATTG